AAAAAAGCCGGCCGGCCGGGTCTATTTTTAAAATTTCATGTTATGAAAACCAAGTAATTAAATTTGTATGGCCTAATTATAAAGCAAGATAAAATTTATATAAATTTTAAAAAAATTATCAAAAATAAAAATTTTTGCTAAACCTTTATTAGTAGCAAGTGTTAGCTTCGCCATAATACCCGCACCCACCTTATTTTAATATTATAATGTAATTTGGTCCCATCAATAATATGTAATAGCTATATCTTGGGATCTTGATATAGTGACCAGGGTATAAATTTTACTAATAAACAAGCGCATTTTAAATACATTATTGTATGAAAGTGCCTAAAGTTTTCTTTATTCTGAATGCTCTGAAATGGTTATATGAGTCTTCATTTTACCAAGCTTCTTTACAAAAATCTGTTTTCTTTATATGTACATTACTCACTTTTACCAAGAAAATTCTTGATCAAATATGTAGGCTAGTATATATACAACGTAATTAAACATCATTGGACCATTAGACTGTCTGTTGAGTCCATTGGCTTGTCTATTGTCTATGAATGGAGTATATTCCAGTATTTCATCTGATATATTTCTATTCTCCGTTATAATCCCTGCATAATCAGAAGCTACATTAATTAAAATGAAACTTTGTACAAATGCCCATATTACACATGAAAATATGAATACAGAAAATATATTAGGTCAATGTTTAACTGACAGATGAATAAAATACTTAGAGCTAAGATTTAACGGATGAGGCATATACGTGTTATTATTTAATTATTCGAGGATATAACAGATGAGGCTTTGCTTTTTAGAGAATTTTCACATTCACATCGCTTATATATTCCCTCTGCTACTTTTTTGCAGGTTTTGCAATATAGGTGTGAATGATGATTGCATTCGTCACAAACCTTACATCCGTAATTCCACTCTCTAAAAATATGCCACTTTTCAAAGTGATTTTGTCTTTTTTTATTTGTATATGTATTGTTATGATTTTTTATCATTGTTGTATTAATAGAAAAATAATTATACGTGGCTAAAAATTTTTTTATTATGCTTAGACACTGGGCTCTGCCTATAAATAAACAATACATGCATTACGAAATAATTTATGAATTTCTTGACCGAGTCGGTCAGCGAAGTCACGTGTCTTGGCGCAGTAAATAACAATTATCTCTATTCAAACTTTTCTTCTATAGCATCGATCTCGTCCCAACTTAATTTAGAAATTCTCAATGCAGAATAAGATTTTACCAGTTGTATCTTCTCATACCCAATATTACTGAAAAGGTAGTAAATCTTCCTTGCCCTTTCTAGTCTTTTCTCGATTGCATTACTCAAGAGGTCATTGGGGAGCTGTTCTGTGACCTCATCAATAAGTTTTTTCTTAGCCTTATGGTTTTTATTACTTTTTTTATAATACTCGAACCTATCCTCAAGTTTTTTCCCAAATGCAAAATAGCTCCTAATAACTTCCTGATTTGTGGTTTCCACTTGTTCTTCGGCCTTAATAAGCACATTGTACAGGTCAATAAAATTACCTAAGCTTGTAACTGTTTGCAAAGAAGAGCTTAGTGATAATAACTCCTTGATAAGTTTTTTTAATATGGATGAATCTTTATTTTTTACCTTCACTTTCTTGCTAGATAATTTGCTGATAGATTCACTAACACACTTTTTAGACAGACTTGGAAAGAGGGGGTTAGTAAATAATAATGGGGATATATCCATCAAATCATTAATATTCTGACTTCCAGGCATGCTGTCAACCATAGATTCTACCTCCTTCTTGCAATCAGGCTTTGGGCATATTGAATGTTTCTTGATAGAAGTTTTGATACAATCACAATGATATATATAGCCACAGATAAGTAAAATAATCAGCTTTTTTATTTCATATAAAAAAAGTTCTTGGTTGTATAAAAAACATGGATCTAGTTTGGGTATATTAATATTATTTGCAATTTTTTCTGGAGATGAATTTTTAAGAACATTTAATGCAAGTGTTTTAAGATATGAAATATTTTGAAATGTAGGGTTAGTAGCCATATTCAAATTTTTTATGATTAAAGAGTTAGTATATGTATTAAGGGTTATAGACAGATAAGTATTTGCAATTAATCATACACTTAGCTTGTTTTTATAATAAATACTTTCACAACTAAAAAATTTAATTTGCAGATTTCATAAACTAATTTTGGGTTTAGCGATTTGTTCATTCACAAATTATTTAGTATGGGCCAGGATTGCTCGATCTTTGCTGGCAATCGTGAATATATAATTTAGCTTAAGGGTAGACCCAAAGAGTCATTGCTCTGCAATAAGTGCAGTTAGTAAGTTGGTTAGTACCAAAATACTTTTATGCTAATCTCCGATTCGTGGATTTAGGCTCAAAGAGCCATTTCTTTGAAATAAAACACATAACATCACAGAAAAATAATATTTATTCTGAATTTTATTATATATTAATATAATAAATAATAGCAAACTAGTATCAAGGTACATATTACGATATGATATTGACAATGAATAAAGCTACATTAGAAAATAATCATAAATTTCAAAATAGTAATAGTGTGATATCTCGCATTATTAAACAAGTGTTAAATAAAAAAATTAAGATCTCTCTCCATCAATTACTAAAAATAGTAAAACCTGAGATTTAGCAAGATATTATAAACTCAATAGCAAACATGGATATTTCTCAGAGAAATCGTACACTATCTGAGGCTAAAAGAAAAAAAACAATTTTTAACGATACCACATCTGAGTC